CTTTACAAGAGCAGAAAGCCCCATCTTTGTCCCATGCACCGTGAATCAGAATGCCGTGGGTCCTGCATCCTCAAGCCTGGTGGCGGAGCTGATCACCTGCGGCCCACAGGGTTTCCGCTGGGTGGATTACAGAAGTAGGTCACCAGGCCTTTCTTCCTATCCGTCTTAAATAAGAGCCCCTCGGTCCGACACACACCTTTACCAGCCAAGCCTTCAGCTGTCTCCTGAGCCAGGCACTGTTCTCAAGCCTTTTCACAGGTTGCCTCGTTTACGCCTGACCTCGACAGCATGACCAGAGTCTCTGGGGTCATGCAGAAGACCAGAATCTTGCCTATAGAACCTCAGAAAACGAAGGATGTAGTTACCATCTGACCCCGTGAGCACACTCCTGAGTCTGGGGCCCCAGTTAAGTGACAGCGTATGTTCACATAAAACCTGTCCACAAATGTCCACAGCCGCTTGACTCAGAATGGGCAAAGCCTAGAAAGCACTCAGCTGTCCGTGGGGCACACGTCCCATCGAATACCGCTCAGCAGTAAAAGCAGTAGAGAGTAAACTGTGGAAACAGACAAGTGTTTGTACCCATTTCAACAGAAGGATTGGCACAGTGGTTACAACAATGGGCACCCACGTTGGGGCAGGACAGGTAGCGTTTCCGTTCCGTTGAAGACGGGGACAGTACCTAACAACAGAGAATTACGTTGGGGGTAGCGAAGCGAGGGGAGCCCATTCCTAAAGGTTACACTCTATATTTAACATTGATGTGGCATACAACAGACATTATTTACGTGATACTTTCTAAATGACACTGTTTAGAAATGAGAGATCAGATTAAGGGCTGCTAAGGACTAGGACAAGCGGAGTGGAAAAGGAAGGTGGGTGTGGTTATAAAAAACTCACAAACCTTACTGCCAAAGAAGCCATGCCGACTCATAGCGACCCCATAAGACAGACAGAACTGTCCCTGTGAGTTTCCCAGACTGCAGCTCTGTATAGGAGTGAAAGCCTCCTCTTTCTCCTGAGGAGCAGCTGGTGGTTTCAAACTGCTGCCCTTGCAGTGAGCAGCCCAGTATATAACCACTATGCCACCAGTTATAAAAGGATAGACAAAACATGGAAATCACTGTGGTAAGGGGAATGTTCTGTACCTTGATAGTGGAGATGCATATGCATTCAGGAACTTTAGAACTGAACACAGGCATACAGGAAAACCACTGGAGAACTCGGAGTGAAATCTGTCCATTGTATCAAAGGCAAAACATGGATTGTGATACACACCATTTTACAATGTTGCAAAACGATGGCACTAGGAACAAGGTAAAGGATATGTATTCCTTACAACCAAGATATACAAATATCTCCATTTTTAAAGTTCAATGGGGGGGGAATGTCAATCTGACAGCTGGGCTAGATATGCTTCTAAATTTCTTCACCTCTAACATCTGAAATCCCAAGTGTCTCCACAGCCAATGCCATTTCCACTGGCCAAAAAACTATTTCAATAACGGATGGCAAAACTCAACTCTTAGCCATGGGAAACTCAGAAAATGAGGTACTTTTCCACCAGAATTCTGCATCACTCGCTACATTTAGTTCTTGGGGGAGAAAAGGGGTGATTTTCATCAACTCCAATTGATGAAAATCATCGTTTTGTGCTTACTTTCATAAAACTGACTTCTGGCCAAAAGATGGACAATATGAGCCTTCAAAATCTCTGCCCTAGCAAGCATTCTCTCCCTATCTCTAAAAGCCACATCCATCCCAAACACTTCCATGCCAGAATTGCTCATCTCTCCCTCAGCAAGCAATTCTCTCTCTACAAGCCACATCCATCCCAAATGTTTCGATATTAATGTCTTCTCGTTGTAATCTTCCCTGAAAGCAGCACCTTGCAGCTGCTAGATGCCATCAAGCCTGTTCATGCTTCAGACTCATCGAATCCCAATGAACAGCAGGAACCATCTCCTGGCCCTGAGCCAGCCTCACCAGGCTGCAATGTTTGAGCCCATTGTTCCAGCACCTTAGAGATTAGGATCATTGGCCTTCTTCCACCGGGTCAGCTGGGCTAGAAGAAAGGTCGACGAGTTTAACCCAAGGTACGGTGTGACCTTGCCAGGTCCCCATCTCTGGAACAGGGACAGGGTGCCCCCGTGGGTCTGTCCTCCAGTGTCGTTTGAATTCCGGATGATTAGGTACCTGGCACTAGTGAGCTAATTCCTCATTCCGTTTCTCTCTGGGTAACACCGGTGCTAACTTAATGTTCACCTGGCCAGGAAGGATCCTACGGGACCCCCTCCGACTGAGGTTAAATAGGTAATCATCTGAGCTCGCTCCGCGTCAGACCCTCCAAACCGTCCCCTCCTCTTCCCACTCAGCTCAGCAGCACTATCGCGGTTTGTAACCACGGCTTCTAGCGGTGCGTGGAGCGAGGTCCGGGGAATCCCCAAAGCTCTGCCCCACGCAGATTTCTGGCTAAAAGGCTCCAACCCTCATAAAATGCTTCTCTCAAAAAAAAAAGGAGAAAGGCGAGAGTTGTAAAGTTTCTGCATGTGCATTTTCCGCGTGTCCCCAGTCGCTCGGCAGCGGCGATGCTGCGGGAGGCTGCAAGTGCTAGGGACCGGGTCCCGCCTGGGAGTGGCCCGGGGGTCCCCAGCGGGGCCAGGCCCGGCCCCCGGGCGGGGACGGGGTCCCAGGTCGGATGGCCCCCGCACTCACCTTCCGTGCGTCGCT